CTTCCCCACCTTCCTGAGGCCAAGCCCCTGATAAACCTCCCCTGGCCCCAGCAGACAGCAGGTGTCCAAGGGGACGCTGACTCTGCCTGTGAGCCCCGGCCCCAGAGCCCGACCTCCCCTTCCCCAGGGGCTCAGGGCCAAGCCGTGAAAGAAAAGCGGGCCGCAGACCCTGCGCCCCCCCACCAACCCCTGCCCTTGGCCTTTCCCAGCCCAGATACACCACTCTTGGCTGCCTGTCGGTGCTCAGCGGCCGAGGTGTGAGCTGATAATTAAGACTTTAGCTGTAAACTTAACGTGTGATCCCCTGCCAGCAGTATTTTGGTTTTAACGGGTTGCTTTTGGAAGCAGAAAAGCCGTCAGCCAAACGGCAGGCGAGGACGCCCAGTGGGTGCGGGGCTCTCCTGCGCCTGGGGCCCTCCCCGGCTTCCCGAAGCCCCTCCCCTGCCCGCTCAGGGACCGAACGCATGCGCAGGAGCCCCGCCTTCTGGTCTCAGCTCGGCGCCCAGGTAAGGACGACCTCCAGGGACTTCCACAGGCACGCCCTTTCCCACGCACCCCGATCTGCACAAGAACTCTCTGCTCCCGACTTCCTCATGCCTCTTCCTGCCCCAAAGAGCCCTACATCAGCCCCATGCCTCCCGATCGATCGATCGATCGATCGAATAGCTCCCCCAGTCTCTCGCCCGGCTCAGACAAATGGAACTGAACAGTGACACAGTGTGAACAGGCAGGGGACATGGGGACATTCGGCAGAGCACAGGGACAGAGTTCAGAGCACAGGGACAGGACATGGATGCAATACACGGCACGGAAAATAAACACGTGGGAAAGCCAGGTGATCCCTACCTCAAACCACACACAGAAACAGCCTCTGACCATTTCAAAATCTCAGGAACAACTAGGAACGACAGAGGGCGCTGGTTTTTAAAAAACTTGGCGCGGTATTTTCAAAACATCTAAAATTCTTCAAACTTACTCTGTGGCAAGGTCAGAAACCCTCAGGGCAGTGACAGTCTCCCCCACAGGAGAGGGGTTCCAGAAACAACACCACCCCAAAGCTCCGTCAGAAAACAAGAAAACCTCCCCAAACCAACCTGTGAAAACCCGAGCAACGCACAGCAAAAGTCAGATCGCACGTGAACCGGCTTCCTCCAGCGCGGCCCCTCCACCGCCCCGTCGCCGAGGCCAAGGCCACGGGCACCCCCTCGGCGTCTGCCTCCTCCTTCCCCTCCCGGCCACACAGGGCTTATGCTGGATGCACAGCTGCCCCCCGCTTCCCGGACACGGCACCTGCCTGGTTCTCCTCCACCTCCCCGGCTGCCCCTGCTCGGCTGCCCGGCTGGCCGGTGGCTCACTGGTCCCTCTTCTCTGTACTGCACCCCTGCACGCTCTCCCCCAGTCCCAGGGCTTCAATCCACTATCTTCCTGTGGTGACCTCACGCGGCCCTGGGCTCTGGCCTCCCCCGTCTGCCTGCCCACCCCACGGCTGCCCTTGGATAGCTCCTGGCATCCCACGCTTGGAATGGCCACAGCCAGCCCTGCACCCTGAGCCCCACCCTCAGAACGGCCTCTCACTCACCATTTCACATTGCTTCACTTTCTTTATTATTGCTATTTTTTTTTTCAACAAAGGGCTGCCTGCTTGTGTTCTGGGCCCCTGCCATAACGTAGCCAGTCCTGCCCACTCCTCCTCTCCCCTACCTCAAACCCACGCTCCCCTGTCTCTGCCAACGCCACCCCTCCCTTCCGGCTGCAGGTGGAGCAGCCCTACTCCGAAATCCAAGAGGCTCTGAAATCTGAAACTTTCTGAACGCTGATGTCACGGCACGAATGGAAACTGTCAGGCCAGGGAAGGGCTCTGCTTCGTACGCAGAATTATTAAGAACATTGCATACGGTTAAGTTCAGTTAGCCACTTGTGCATAAAGCGAATGTGAGAGATCAATGATTCTTCTTTGGGTGTCATCCCCCATACAACGCGTTAAGTATCTGCAAACACAATGACGTACAAAAATACCCCGAACCCAAGACACTCCTGTCCCAGGCGTTTCAGATGAGGGATTCTCAGCATGAACTCCCAACTCCCTTCTCTCTCCACACACTCACCCCCGCGCCCACCTGTCGGCAAATCCTCCTGCTCTGCCCCGCCCACACATCTGGCACCGCCCCCTTCTCCTGCCTCCACCCAGGCTGTCCAGGTCCAGGTCCCACCACCGCCCCACTGGCTCATCGCCACAGGCAGCCTCCAGTCGGTCCCCCGCACGGCTGCCAAGGGATCCGACCACAAGCGAATCCAGCTCCTTCCGTCACTGCTGAGACCCCGCCATGCTTCCTGCTTCCCTCTGATTGGATGCCACAGCCCTGGGGCGGCCCTGGGCCCACTCGGGATCCTGCACTCACTGCCTCTCACAGCACCGCCCACTCTGCTCCAGCTACGGGGCCTCCCTGGAGCGTCCTGCACGAGCCAGGCCTCTCCTGGCTCAAGTCTGCAACGCACCCTGTTCCTGCTGCCTGGCACGCGCTCCCCCAGACACCCCACGGCTCACGTCTTCCAGGCCTGCGCTCCCCCCACCCCAGCACTTGGCACTCACACCCCACACTGCTTTCCCGGACGCGTGCTTCTCCTCGCTGTCTCCACCACAGCCACAGCTCCGCACAGCAAGTGTTTTGCCCATCAGTTTTGCTCACTTGTTTGGTCCCTAACCACAGCAGCACCCAACACATAGTAGGTGTTCAGTAAACGCTCACTGTGTGCATGGCCACAAGCAAAGAGGAAACACAAATGGCCGACACGAGCTGGCTCCACCCCCCTAGCAACCAGAGACGGGTAAACTCGCTCTTAACCCGGCCGGCTGGCAGAGATCTCGGGGAACTGAAAACGCCGTGGCTGGCAAGGGACAGGGGATGGGGCCTCCTGTGCCCGGGCTGCGGTGGCATTAAGAACCGACCGAGGGGCCAGCACTATGGCGCAGCAGGTTAAGCCGCCATCTGTGAGCCCAATATCCCATTTGACCGCCGGTTCGAGGCCCGGCTGCTGCACTTCCTATCCAACTCCCTGCTGGTGGCCTGGGAAGGCAGCAGAGATGGTCTGAGTACTTGGACCCCTGCCACCCAATGGGAGACCCGGGTGGAGCTCCTGGCTCCTGGTTTCAGCCTGGCCCAGCTCTGGCCGTTGCGGCCACCTGGGGAGTGAACCAGCAAATGGAAGATCTCTCTTTCTGTCTCTCCTCTCTGTAACTCTGACTTCCAAATAAACAATTTTTAAAGAACAGGTCAAATGCAGAAATGCATGTGGCTCCGACTCTGCCGGTCCGCTTTAGACGTGTGAACCCACAGGTTCCCTGAGGGGGGCTGGTCAACAGCCAAGTGCCAGAAATGGCCACGGGCAGGGGTAGCAATGAGTAAGTGACTCACAGGCCATCCTGATAAGGATGGGGAGGACAGGCAAAAACCTGGGAGGACCATGTGTCCGAGCACCCCCAGGCTTCTCCTTTCAAAAGGTGTTTATAGTGGGCAGCATCCCATACGGGCGCCAGTTTGAGTCCCAGCTGCTCCACTTCTGATCCAGCTCCCTGCTAATGCACCTGGGATAGCAGTGGAAGATGGCCCAAGTGCTTGGGCCCCTGCACCCACGTGGGAAACAGGAAGAAACTCCCGGCTCCTGGCTTCGGACTGGCTCAGTTCCAGCCGTTTCGGCCATCAGGGGAGTGAACCAGCGGATGGAAGACCTCTCTCTCTGTCCTTCCCTCTGTCTCTCTGTAAGTCTGCCTTTCGAGTAAATAAATATCTTTCTTTAAAAAGTGTATGACAAGAGTTTGGTAGGATTTGTGTATAACTCGGGAGCTGGAGCGGGAGACTGCGGGAAGAACTGAACGGCACGCCTTAAATAGCTCGAGGGAGGTGGGGAGCGAGGGAGGGTACACTCAGACACAGGGGGCATTTCAAAAAGCCTGAGGAAAATGGAATTCAGAGAGACGCTGATTTGGGTGCAGGAAGGGTTTGAAATCCGCGCATCGTTCTTTCACGATGTGTATTTTCCACGAACTTTCTGAACACCCCCCCCCCCCCCCCCCCCAGTGTTACCTTAAATAATCAGAAACAGGATTCCGCCCAGGGAGAAAACACTGCCACAGGAGAGACAGCCTCTGGCCCCGCCCAGAGCCATGCCCATCCCCGCCCAGTGCCCCAAGCACTCTGGGGTCCCAGCTCATGGGCAGTTCTCCGTGCCTGGTCCCGATCCCAAGGCCAGCCCACCCTGCCCCATGACCTCAGCCGGGACAGATGGGCACCAGGACCATGAGCCCCACGGCAGCCCTAGCCCCAGGCTCCAGTGAGAACCCCTCAGTCTGTGCCCCAGGGACCCCAGAGAGCAGAAAATGCCTGCTGACCTGCGCAGCTGATGTGAGGAGGCCCAGGGGGTCCACAGGGAGGACAGGCCACAGCAGGAGAGAGGCTGGGGCTCAGCCCCCTAGTGTGGCCACACTGAGCAAATGACATCAGATGTGGCAGGCTATACTGGGACAGCACTCGCGCTAACAAGCCCTTGGCCGCCTCCCTGAAGTTCAGATACAACTGGACACTTGTGCTTTTTCTGGCAACCCTGGCCCCCACCCCATCCCAGTCCTGGGAGACTTGGCACCGGGCAGGGGACAAATGCCCTTTCTCAGGGTCTATGGAGAAGAACACTCGGTCCCCAGGGCTGGGAGAAGCTCCCCCCACCCCAGAGCCGGACAGCGCCATTGCACAGTGGGCAGAGTCCACAGCCGAAGGCTGGCAGGTGGGCACAAGTGAACCATAGATGGCAAGCAGGTGAGAGCCAGGCCAAGGCTGCAGGGACCACTTGGAGGCCAGCAAGGTGGCCGTCCCTACGGAGGCTGGGGCCTTCAGACCCCACACTATGCCCCCCACCGCTGCCCTGCCAGGGGCTTGCACACGGAGGGCCAGCCTGGCTCAGGGGCCCCGGCCCTCTCGCCCCTCGCCCTCCCAGCCGGCCTCCCCTACCTGGTCAGACGGCACCGGGAGGCAGATGGGCCTCTGGAGGCGGGGGCGTGGCAGCCTGGCCGTGGCCCAGCATGCACTGTGGAGACAGCAGGAGGTCAGTGCAGGCCAGCATGGGGCTCCCAGCTACCCCGGGCACTGCGGGGCCCACTGCTGCCTCCCCCCAGTCCCCTGGGGCGGCCAGCCCAGGACTGACCCCCAACCCAGAAGCAAATGCCCCTGCCGGGGGCTTTAGGCCCTGGCCACGCCCCCTGCCCACTCACATCCTCCCCAGTTCTCTGCAAGGTTTGTTCAGGCACAAATGCACCGAGGGATGACCCAGCCCACCCTGAGGTTCCCACGCTGCCCGTCACTTCCTGTCCTTAGCTCCCAGCGCCCCCTGACCCAGAAGGTCTGGCTCTGTCCCCCTCCCCCACAACACTCTCAGCAAAGTGTGCGAGGACCCCGCCTGTGCCCCACCACTCCTCCCGCCTCAGCCTGGGGACTAGCCCCCACCCCTCCGTTGGCAGCCCTTCTCTCCCGGCTCCCTGGCCCCCCAATCCGTGCTCACCCTCTGCCATGTTCAGCGGCACCCACCACACCCAGGAAGCCCCTAAACCTGGCCCATAGGGTGCTGTGAAGCTGCTCCCCCATCCGCGGCCACTCGGGGCGCCCTGCCGGCCTCTTAGCTCAGGGGCCTGGTCAGAGCCCTCCCTGCCCTGTGCCAGGGGCTCCTCCTTCCACAGCCCACACAGCCCCCACCAGCCAGGTGTACTGAGGGGCCACGCACCTGCAGTTCTCTGCTCTTTCCTGGACACAGGTCTGCGTGCACGCTGCGGGGAGCCTCAGTAGCCATGGAGGCAGAGAACAACTCTACCCCCACGCCCCGCGTGCTGTGCTCACTAGCCCAGCCCCCAGCCCCGCGCAGCCCCTGGTTCTCCCCGTCCCAGGGTGTCTGCAAACGCAGCACCTACAGGAGCCCCGAGTCTGGCTTTGGGCACCCAGCACGGCGCAGTTAAAAGTTCTCTGTGCTATGTCCTAGACCCAAATGTCCTTCTTTTTCAGGCCTGAGTAGTATTCCACTGCTCAGCCATTCACCAGCTGAAGGACATCAGGGTTGTCTCGAGGTGTTAGAGACTAACTAAAGCCACTGAAAAGACCCACGTGTGGGGTCAGCGCCGTGGCACAGTGGGTTACGCTGCAGCCTGTGAGGCCAGCATCCTGTATGAGTGCCGGCTCACGTCCCGCTACTCTACTGCTCACCCAGCTCCCTGCTAATGCACCTGGGAAAGCAGTGAAGACGGCCCAAGTGCGTGGGCCCTGCACCCACATGGGAGGCATGAGTGGAGCTCGGGCTCTTGCCTTCAGCCAGCACAGGTCCTGTGCACCCCCGGCCCTCCCACCCCCGACAATTAACTGGGCCATCCCAGAAGCCCTGGCCAATGGCCCGTGAACGAGAGTGACGCTTGGCACCGCTGGGCCGAGACACGTAGGGTCCAGTGGGCAGCCTTTTCCTCTTCTCCACCGCGTGCGCCAGATGCCTGGGTCCCCAAGTGACCGTGTGGCCCGCTGCCCACCCCCAACCCTGGGCAGGTGCTGTGAGCTCCCACGGCAAAGAGGCAAAGAGGGGAGCGTGTTGACCAAGTGCCAAGGGCTCCCAAGGACTTGGTACAGTACAACCTGGCCCACCGTGCCCCTGGGTGGGGCACTGACCCGGCTGCATTTGGTTTGAGCGCCCCTTTGGGTGCCGGCACTCAGCCCCACGTGCGGCTTCTAACTAAGACTTCGGTCCCCAGGTTGATGGGGGGGGGGGCCTCCAGGCCCTGCAGGGGGACCTGCCAGCAGGAGACAGCAGGGGGAGCTGGAGCCGGGCCGGCGTCTCTGTGATGCCCCAAGGTCGGAGCCTTGGCCTGCATCCGACGGCTTGAACTTGGCTCTGTGACAAAGGCCGGGTGTCTTCAGGGCTTTGCTCTTGACTGGGGTCTGAGCAGCTCTCAGAAACGCAGCCACCGTGACGGACAGCTCGCGGGCGTGGGGGGGGGGAGAAGCCCCTCCAGGCCTCAGAGCAGCAAGCGACAAGGAGCTGCCAGCTCAACCGCAGCTCCTGTTCGGAACACTTGACTCCGGCAATTATCACCTCCAACGCTGCGTGCTCCCTCGGGACTGCACAGGGGCTGGGGAGAAGAGGGAGCCCCTCACGGTGATGCAGGGAACGCCCTGGGTGTTATCAACACCCCTGGCACTTCCCCAGACAGTAAGACTGGGCTGCAGTGCACACACGCACGTGCACACACACACACACACAAGCAGGCATCCTACAAGGCTTCTATTATGCGGGCTTCCCGGGAAACTCAAGGCGTTTCCTGCCCCCGTGAGCACTAGACTGATGCCAATGCTTCTCCATGTGCATCCCAGGGACTTTCTGGTTTTGAACTTCAGTCAGGCTGCATGGCACCCTGCAGGGGTACTGGGACGTGCTGGGAGAGAGGGCTTGGGTTGGAGGCAGGGGCGGGGGACCGGCGCTGTGGCATAGCGGGTTAAGCTGCTGTCTGCAAGTGCCAACATCCCATCTGGGGGCCGGTTTGAGTCCTGGCTGCTCCATGTCCAATCGAGCTCTCTGCTAATGCACCTGGGAAAGCAGGGGAAGGTGGCCCAAGTGTTTGGGCCCCTGCACCCATGTGGGAGACCTGGAAGTAGCTCTTGGCTCCTGGCTTCAGTCTGGCCCAGCCCTGGCCATGCGACCATTTGGGGAGTGAACCAGCCGATGGGACACCTCTCTCTCTCTCTGCCTCTGCCTCTCTTCCTCTCTGTAACTCTGGCTTTCAAGTAAATAAATACATAAATCTTTTTAAACAAAGTGGAGAAAGGGGCAGGTGTTTGGTGTAGTGGTCAAAATACCACCTAGGACACCCGCTTCACACATCACAGTGCCTGGGTTTGAGTCACAGCTCTACTTCTGATCCAGCTCCCTGCTGGTGCACCCTGGGAGGCAGCAGGTGATGGCTCAAGTACTTGGGTCCCTGCTGCCCGTGCACAAGACCCAGACTCCTGGCTTTGGCCTGGCCCAGCCCCAACTGTTGTGAGCATTTGGGGAATGAACCAGTGGATGGAAGATCTCTGTCTGTCTCTTATCTTTATCACTGTCTCCCTGCCTTTCAAATAAAAATAAATAAATAAATAAATAAATAAATAAATAAAACATAAAGTGAAGAAGCTCCTGGCACAAAGACAGGCTTGGTGGAGGCCTGGGGGCCTCGGCTCTGGGTCTTCCAGCAGAGCCGTCACAAAGAGCACTCTCCGGGGTGGGCGTCTGGCGCAGTGGGTAAGACGCCACCGAGGCTGCCTGAATCCGTACTGGGACACCTAGGGTTGATTCCAGGCTCCACTTCCGATTCCAGCTTCCTGCTGATGCTCACCCTGGGAGGCAGAGGGTCCCTGCCACTCACATGAGAGACTGGACTGAGTTCCAGGCTCCTGGCTACGGCCTGACCTTGACTCAGGCATCTGGGGGAGTGAACCAGTAGATGGAAGATCTCGTCTGTCTGTTTTTACCTCCGTCTCTCTGCCTTGCAAATAATAAATAAATAAATAAAAATGTTTTTAGGTGCTGCGGCTCACTAGGCTAATCCTCTGCCTGCGGCGCCGGCACCCCGGGTTCTAGTCCCGGTCGGGGCGCTGGATTCTGTCCTGGTTGCCCCTCTTCCAGGCCAGCTCTCTGCTGTGGCCCGGGAGTGCAGTGGAGGATGGCCCAAGTGCTTGGGTCCTGCACCCGCATGGGAGACCGGAAGGAAGCACCTGGCTCCTGGCTTTGGATCGGTGCAGTGTGCCTTGGCTGCAGCGGCCATTTTGTGGGGTGAACCAACAGAAGGAAGACCTTTCTCTCTGTCTCTCTCTCTCTCACTGTCTAACTCTGCCTGTCAAAAAAAAAATGTTTTTAGAAAAGGAACCCTCTCTCACGGGCTCTGGGATGCAGAGCGTGAGGGACACAACGCAGCCCTGTGAGTGCACTTCGAAAGGCTCTCGCCTCTGTGGTGCAAACGAAAATCCACGCAGGACTTTGGGGAGTCTTTGGAAAACGCAGGTCGTGGCATGCGCTTCAAACTTGAGCTGCACCAAAATACACTTCTTCCAATTCCACTGCTTCACGAACTTTCTGAAGGCCCCAACAGCCCCTCCCTCCCCGGCCCGAGACTTCCTCTGCGTGGAGGCCCCCATGCGTGGGGAGGGTGGTGACTCCTGTGTTTTGAAGGGCTTTGGCAAAGGAATCGCTTCTCACTGGACTCCGTGCACTGCTGGCTGTGTTCCTGCCCATGGAAGCTGACAGTGGCCAGTGCCAGAGTCAGGGCTGCAGAGCGGCTGGGGGCCAGAGGGGAGGGGTCAGCTGGCCTGGGGTCAGCTCAGACCCCCGGCTCCAAAGGGCACCTGGATGCCCTCACTCAAGGAGGAAGAGGACTCAAATGTGGACGTGGCTGTCCAGTTGCCAGCTCCTGGGCTGAGTGCCCAGGCTCGGGGAGGTGCACCTGGACACAGGGGGACAGGCTCCCCTGAATGGTCTTTGCCAAGTGACCAGGCTGTAGTCAGTCCCCTGTCTGCAGGGACTGGGGGCCCGAAACAGGGCCAAGGCTCCAAGGCCCCTGTGGAAGGGGGATCTGGGAGCTGAGGATGCACTGGAGTGGGAAGGGGTGAGGGGCAGAGGGAGGGCTGAGAAGACACTGGGCAAGGGTGAGGGCGTGAGGGCCTTCGTCATCCTGGCCACCACCATCGCCATCACAGTGGTGGATGGGGCCCTGGAGTCTGTTCTGGCCCCAAGAGCTGACTCGCCCGTGTCCCACAGGAGGAGGGCAGGGGTGCTGTGTGTGTGTATGTGTGTGTGTGAGTGTTGTACGTGTGAGTATGAATGTGTGTGTCATGTATATATGTGAATGTGTTTGTGGGTGTGCAAGAGTATTGTGAGTACATGCGTGTTGTATGTGGGTGCTGTGTCTGGGTGTGTGTGTGTGTTGTGTACGTATGCGTCTGTATGAATGTGTGTGCATATGTGGTGCATGTGTTTGAATGTGTGTTGTATGTGCATGTGTGTGAGTGTGCATGGATGTGTAT